ATTTATAATTCCATTTCAATATACATAAAAAAGAAAAAATAGCAGTATATATGTACAAGCATAATACCTTAAAATCCAACACACACATATACCTTTCATCATACCTCAACCTTCATTTGACTATAATTGCTCTTACGTCCCTTTATATAAAATATTCCAAAATTTAAAGAAAAACCACATAATGGCATTCCGTTAACTGTTTCCATTGTCATCCGGTAACACTACATCTTTACGAGATGTTCTAAATAAAAAAATGGTTATATTTAATAACAAAGTTTCTAGGCCTCCTTTCTTAATCACTGTTTACAATTTATATCCAATTTCATGTCCCGCCTCTTCTTAAAAACCTCCCGTGTTGGAGCACTCACAACCCCCGAGTCCATCTGTTCCACTGACCAATTGTTCTCTGGCGAAATTTCTCCCTAGTTCTAGGTTGCTCTTCTCCTCGGTTTCTCCCTGATCTCCAGCCACTGGCGGGGGGTCCTTATTTTGAGGCTGCTTGCAGACGCCTGCTCTCCTCCCACCCGGAGGGTTTTCTCGGGACGGCTTCCTGCTTTGTGCGGTTTATGGCGATGTAGACGGCAGAGTCCCGGTGGGACAGGAACCCGTGAAGCTTCTGTACTCTTCTCTCTCCCACCAGGCACCTGACCAATTGGGAACTGGTGTTGGGCACGACCAAATTATCCCACCCGGGTCCCGACGCAGAAGTCCGCTTCCCCAAGAGGGTGGTACAGCACGAGAACTACCAGCCTCGCCAGCAGATCAACGACATTGCCCTGGTGGAGTTGGATGACCCCGTGAAGTGCAACGACTACATCCAGCCCGCCTGCTTGCCGGACGGCTCGGTGGACGTCTCCAGCATGGTCCATTGCTACATTGCTGGGTGGGGCTATACGCGGGAGAAAGGTGAGAGTCCACCAGGCACAAACAACCAGGCACAAACAACCATTGCTGGAGTGACTGTAGGAGGATTTCACCACGGGGCTTCCTGCCAACGGATGCGCCCATGAGAGATAACTGCCCACTGAACATCACTACCCCAGTCAACAGGGAGAGGGAAAGGCCCGCTGATTATTGGCAGTGGGACCTGGAAACAGCTTAAATAATAAAGGGAAAGGAGGAGAAGAAGAAGAGCCGAGGTGGCGCAGTGGTTANTCCTCTGCCACCAGGTCCTTGAGTTGAGCCTGAGGGGCCGGAACAAGGAATCGCTGTGATGTAGCAAGTCCTTCTTCCCCGGTAATGGCTAGCCCTACAGCTCCCGTCATATCTACCCCTCCCGGTCGTAACCGAAATGCTCCGACCCTCCCCCATCCCCGTAGACCCCCCTCTCCCATGGCCCCCATTCTTCTCGGCAGGCCACACGCACCATTCATTCCAGGATGGGAGGCAAATATGGGCCCCCATCCACTTCTGCTTCTGCACTCAGTGGAGGGGGCTCCAGGTCGCACACCCAGTCCTATTATATGCACCAAACAGACACTCTCCTCATACACACCCCACAACTCTACCTGTATTAATTTGCAAGCCATTTCAGAAGCACAGAAATGGTGATCATGTAACGTGTGGCTGCTGCAGTAGTCGTAAATGCAAGGATTGGTTGCAAAGCTTTTTCGTTTGTTTGTTTGCTGTTGTTTTTTGCACCACTATAACTTCAGTTACTAGACAAGACAAACAATAGATAAGCACTACCTGTACTGCTTCTAACAATTCCTTGAAATTCTCCCTGACATCTTTGATTTTTGTGACTTTGGCTTCTTTTCTTTTGGCAATATATTCTGTCACTCAGTTTGCTTTCTTCTGTTTTTTGGGCTTTGTTAATTTCCTCCTTCATCCTTAATAACTTCTATGATTTCATTCCATGGAAGTTTCATAGAGGTTCTGAACTTCAGTGACTGGTTCCCAATCAGTGCCGTTCAGATCTTCAAAATGATTCCTGGTGTTCTCCATGAAAATAATGAACATTTTTTTTCATATTGTGGAAGTTGATTACTTTATTAGCTTCACTTGGAATGTGCACATGAGCAGTTCATGATCTGTCCCACAAACAGCACTTTATCATGTCTTTGATCCTATAACTGAGCTTATTCACCTTTTAACAATCATATGGCTAGTTGGATTTCTATGTACTTAATCTGGTGATTTTTATGTATGCAACATTGTTTTTTTGGGAGGGGGGTGTTTGTTTTTTGAAGATGGTGTTGGTTATGAAGAAATAATTGGAATGGCAGAAATTAATAAATTTCTGTCCTGCTTTAGTTCAGTTTTCTAAATCATGCAATCAAACTATATCTTCCACAAAATTTTCTATTTCTGCATTCCACTCTCCAGACAAAAGTATCTCGCTTGCATGTTTTGTTGGTTTCAAATTGGACTTGATCATAAAACTCCTCAGCCTCTTCTTCATTGATCATTGGAGCATAAACTTGGATGATTATCATATTAAAGGATTATACATGAAGACTAAGTGATATTATGGAATCACTGATTGCACACTTTTTTTCTCTACCCTTCCTATCTATAACAACACTATTAGTTAGTGGTTAATTTGTTATTTGCTATTAGTTAATTTGTTTTTCATATCCTGAGTAATAAATAGTATGAACTTCTGACTGAAAGTGTCCAATCCCAGTCCATTTAAATTTACTGATGTCTAAAAGGTCAATTTGTAATTTTGTGTTATCTTTCACTGCCTGTTTCAGTATTCACAGCTTTCTCGTAATCATGTTTTTCATATTCCATGTTACCACTGTAATTCTGACTTCTTTGCAGCTTTGGATTTTTTTCCTCCTTGGTAATAAGAAACTGGTTATTGCAAATGCTTTAATCTAGCCACATTCTAAATACCATTGGCACTCCAACATTTTTTAGTTTCCTCATTAGCACATTGAATGCCACCGAAGAGCCTATTTTAACTATGTATGATATACCCTGTCCCCTTTCAATGACTATTTTACATATATATTCTGGTGTCATAATAAATTGATGATTTATCAATCATCAGGGTGATTTTATCATTTCAGCCACACTGTGTACTACTTGCTTCAAAGGAAAATTCAGCACCTGTAAAACTTGGTGGTTTTGGAGTTGCTATTCAATTAGGAGAATCAGGACTTGTTGCTGGAGGTAAGTAATGACTATTTCATATCATGTTCAGTAAAGATTTTTTTTAGTTTGGGTGAAATTTACCAAGGATGAACTTATAATGATATAAGAAAATAGCTTGCTTATAAAAAAACAAAGAGAACAGTCTAGTTGCAATTTGAATATTCTGCAAGTGATAATTAAGAAACAATCATTGAAAATTTGCAAACTATGCTTAAGAATGAAAAAGAAAAAATATATATTAATTTATTAAATATATTTCATATTTTGTTTAAATGTGAGTTTCTTTAAGTCTTTACTGCAACCTAGCACTATTCTAGCCTGATTAAGCAAAACACATCAACTTTGGGTACTGTCTTTTTGAGAATAAATAAAACCAGTGTTTCACAGACAAATTAGCTCCTCTTAACTCACAAATTATGCTTTTGAAGAATTTAATGTATGCATGCATGTACAGTGCATTCAGAAAGTATTCAGATCCCATTCACTTTTGTCAATTTTTAATGCTTTAGCCTGATTGTGCAGTTGTTGAAAATTATTATTTTTTCATTAATCTACACTCCGTAATGGAAGTGAAAACAGAATTTTAGAAATGTCTGTAAATTTATTAAAAAGAAAAACTGAAATATCACATAAGCATAAGTATTCAGACTCTTCACTCAGTATTTTGGATATGACATGACAAGCTTTGCACACCTGAATTGGTGGATTTTCTGCTGTTCTTTCTTGCAAATCCTCTCAAGCTCAGTCAGGTAGGATGGTGATTGTAGATGGACAACCATTTTCAGGTTCCTCCAGAGATGTTCAGTCAGGGCTCTGTCTGGGCCACTCTAGGACATTCGCAGAGTTGTCTCTAAGCCACTCTTTTTAAAAAAAATAAATTTTTATTTTTATTACACAAACAATACATACAGACAACAATTAAAAAAACAGCAAAAAAAATACAAAAATACACACACACACACACACAAAAAGCATCATCACATACAACATGTTGTTTGGTTATAGGTGTTTTAACATCCATATTCTCGAATAACATTTACCATCACAGATTTTTCATCTAGTTTAACTAAATACCTCACTATCATTGTACAGTATACATTCAATTACGAAGTATTTTTTTCCAATAAATCATAGTTCCCTTACATTCTTGATTATCTATTTAATAACAGTATATCTTTATATTATCCCCATGTGAAAAAAAAAATTTTTTTTACCAACCGTTTATATCACTATTTTCCATTATACATAATTCCACCATCAACTATCAGGTATGCTTTTGTTCATTGTTATCCTTGTACCTCATACCTTCAAACGGAAATCTTATTCCTTCATTTTTCAACAAAATATTCTAACTGATCGCTACATATATATATACCAATTTTTAATTATTCCCTTATTAAAATAATTTATCAACAACAAGATATCATTGTAATATGTTCTTANAAAAACATTCTCATGAGTGATCTCCCATCTAGATAATTTGGAGCAAAGTTGGCGGAAAATGACTGCAGCTCAAAAAAAGGTTTGGCTTTTTTTATCTCTGGAAGGAAAGGTATGAAAAACGTGAAACTTTGTGAGTAATAACTTAGCAACACAAAGTTTTTGAATACAAAAATTCATTCTCCTACTGCTTTTTAATAGTTCACAAATTGAGTGTAACATTGATGGTTTTTGTAAATGCCAAAAATAGGGTATTTTCAGCCCACTTTTATCAAAAAAGACTTTCTGGAAACTCTGTTAAATCATTCTAATTAGAAAGAGCATGTTTCAAACCCCCTAAAAAATAGGGTTGGTGTTTCATCACTGACGTATAAAGCCCTAAAAATAGAGACAAAGTTGAGGATGGTGCTATGGCAACGTCACTTGCATTCTATTATTGTTTTGCCTTGTTTGTTTTATAGAGACATCATTACTACTATTATATTGCATTGGTCCATGGTGACATTGTCACTACCAGTTCAGGCACTTGACCCAGCAACTCCATCTCTATAGGGGGCATGCCCGATAGCCGTGCAATACCAGCCATGGGTGAGTTTCTTGGTTCAGGATCCTAAGTCTGTAGTTAGATTTCCTCCTTGAGGTTCGAAAGCCTTGTTTAGGTATCTATAAATTTTGGGGTAAATTTTATATTCGAAAACCACGTGTTGCTAAATTATTACTCACAAAGTTTCATGTTTCTCATACCTTTCCTTCCAGAGATATAAAAAGCCAAACTTTAACCTGTTTTGAGCCGCAGTCATTTTCAGCCAACTTTGCTCCAAATTATCTAGATGGGAGATCGCTTATGAGAATGTTTTTATCATTTTGTTTAACAGAGCACAACAAGTTGTACAAGATGGCCAAGCTTTGTTTCTCTCAACAAAATATTGCCGGAGATATTGTCTCAAAGTTGCTGAAACCTCAGAGTCATACTGTAGAAGGCTGAGGTATGGGGTCAAACAAATGACTATATCTCTGCAAGTATTGCATCAGCAAATGTAATAATTTACCAATGTTCATGAGGGACGTGTGTGTATGTTCACAGCAAATTTCATAGAAATCCATGATGGTCGAGCAGGGCACTTTTCTGAAATCAGAGCACTTGACATGAAATAACCCTCCTTCCAGTTTTGTGTATACAAGTCTTGCTGTTGTCAACATATATAACAAATTTCCAGTTTTTTTCTCCAGTTCTTCCATTAAACTCAAAGGAAAAGTTCTGGTTTCATTTTTATCTCCCATTTCCAAAAAAAAAAATGTATTAAAATATGAATCATACTCCAAAAAAGTTTTTCTTTATCACATGTCTACCATAGATGAGAAAAAGTCCCCTCTTTACTTTTACACTTCCAACATTCATTTGACATACCTTTATACATCTCAGATAATTTATCTGGTGTTAAATACCAACAATACATCATCTTATAAAAATTTTCTTTTAGACTGTATTTCAATTTGTGTTTTAAACTCTTCATCCACAGATTTTCCCATTGTTCAAGCATCACATTACATCCAAATTTCCTTACCCATTGAATCATACAATGTTTTACATGTTCATTTTCCAAATTTAATTTCAATAACATTTTATAGATTTTAGCAATAATATGTTCATCTGACTCTGTAAACCGCTTAGAGAGGGCTGAAAGCCCTATGAAGCGGTATATGTCTAACTGCTATTGCTATTCCACATAATAAAATTTATTTTCATTTTTAACAAAGTCAAATCCATAACATTTTTATCCAGTTTAAGCCTTTCTTTCAGTTATTGATAAGTAAACCAATGACAAACATAACTTTCTGATTCAAGTTCTTCCTTCGGCTTTAATATTGGGTCACCAGAGTTGAAAGATAAAATGTTTTCATACATCAACGAGTTTGGCTTTGCCACCATTTCTTTTCTGAAAAAGGCTTCCTGTGGTGACACCCAAAGGGGCAACTTTGTAGAGAGCCTTGTTTTATATTGATTCCAAACTCTTAGTATGGCATGTCTAACAAAATGGCTATTGAAATCAACATTGATTTTAGATTTATCATACCATAAGTAGCTATGCCATTCAAATCTTAATTCATGGCCCTCTAATTCAAGTAACCTCTTATTCTGGAGGCTCACCCATTCTTTTGCCCAGGTCAAGAAACATGCATCAAAGTACAATTTCATATCTGGTAGACTCAACCGCCCTCTTTCCTTAGCATCTTGCAGTAACATATCTAGAAATTAGATATTTTTAATCTAAAAATTAGATATAATTTTTTTTTCCATCATATGAACTTAGAACCTGATTTTTTTCCCCTGCAACATGAACTTAGAAATATCCTTCTGCCAGATTATCAGTTGTAAGTATTGGTAACATCTGGAATTAAAAAAATCATCTTTCATACGATGCTAGATGGTAGATCTTTATGGAAATGGCTTGTACATATTATTATGAAAAAGCAAAAAGTTGTGATTTGATGTTAATTCCTTATTTTATTGTAATAGAGTTGGAAGTCAATGCTTTTTTTTCCTTCCTATTTTTCATCACCTCTCTTTCCCCTCCCCCCCCCCGGCTTTTCTATTTATTTTGTATTTTATAATGCTTCATAACTCAATAAAAATGTTAATGAATGACATAGTCATCATAATCAAATATCTTTTTCATAACCAAAGAAGTACATATTGGCTTTGCTGCATCCCTTGGCTTTTTGTTATCCAGTGGCATCAACAACAATGTCACTCACGTCTTGACTTTTTCTGAAACTTGGGCAAAGGCCCCCCTGGTCGCAGCCGACAGATGNTAGAAGGCTGTGGTATGGGGTCAGTGGTGGGTTCTGGATCCCGTTGCAACCGTACAATGCAACGGGGCCCGGCGTCCCCCACATGCACATGTGCAGCTCCAGCTGCTTGGTGGAGCATCGTGCAGCCACCGTATGCTCCGTGCGCCTAAGTGCTGAAGAGCTCAAATACAGGTAAGGAGCTCAGGCAGGCGGGTGGGCCCTTCGGAGCACCGTACCAGTACCCGCTGCTCCTAGCAGGCACCCCGTACCTGGGCGTACCGCCTGCAACCCACCACTGTATGGAGTCAAACAAATGACTATATCTCTGCAAGTATTGCATTAGCACACGTAACACTTTACCAATGTTCATTGGGGACGTGTGTGCATGTTCACACCAAATTTCATTGAAATCTGCGATGGTCGAGCAGGGAGCCATAGACCACTTGAACATGGTATGACCAAGGACACTCTGATTCCTACTGTTGATGAATGGTTGCAGAAGTTGATGGAGTTGGCTGAAATGACAAAATTGTCCATTTTGATTAAAGAAAAGAACATAAGTACTTTTGTTTCCACATGAAGACCGCTTTTGAACTTCATTCTTGATGTGGAGAAGAATGAAACTCTGACTTTAGGCATTACCAATTAGACTGATTATGCTGACTATGTCAAGCTGTGGAATGTCTTTAGGATAACGGGAATTCCAGAACATCTAATTGTCTTCAGAAGAAACCTATATGCAGGATAGAAAACCATAGTATGGATGGAACACAGAGAATCATGCT